GCTGCAGTACCAGTGTCATTGTCAGACAGGACAAATTTTATCAAAGGAATATTAACATCAGACATTCCATCTAAATCTAAAAACATTACTCAAGAGTTTATATAAGTACACCCACTTGTAAGTTCAACAATAATCTCATCCTGAAATTGTTACCTGGACTTCAAGTAAAATGAACAGGTAACCTTAGCTGACAGTTGTTGACAGTGCCTACAAGAAATTACATGTACTCCTTGACAGTCATTTTTTGACATTCTTATCAAACACAGGACTGAAGCCATCCTGCTAATCATTAAATACACATTTATCTCTCACTGCCTTTTCACTCTATTCTGCCCCCCAAGCATATTACATTTTAACACTTCAGAAGCAGTTTCTGAGTCCATCTTTCCACCTCCTATAACCTGTGCCACATCACCTGCCCACTTCTCAGTATTGCCATCCAGTGGTCCCAGTGTACACGTTCCTGTGGTCACCGGCTCTTGCAAAACCAGCCATTTGCCCTACAGACGCATGCCCTTGCTTGGCCTCATTTCATTAACTGGGATTCTCCAACCTACGTGTGTTACAGTTACTGCTTCCAGGATAAGAGCCCTGCTGAAAGGCCTTTACGGCAGCTCAGAGGATTCAATGCACTGCACCAATGCGAGACATTGTTACAAACTACCAAAAACCCCAAGCTATTGAAGGCATTCTTTGGTTTAGCCACTCGGTACAATACAGACTGCAAGAAAATGCTGCACTAATCTTTAGACAAAGATTTTATCCTCTTACCTCATAAAGTCCAAAGGAAAGAAAAAAAAACTGATACAACCAGTTGGGTAATACTGCCGGAGCGTTTTCCTGGTTTGGGCGTTATGTAAAACATTAAACACCCCTCCAGCGGGCTAACCCGGCTAACCAAAATAAAGCAGTTACGGTATGGTTTAAGAAGGAAAAAAGCACAATAATGGCACGTACCCGAAGCTCTCGCTTTGCGGCCGCACCTAGAGCCCGACGTGTCCCTAATCCAGCCGGGCGCTGCCCCGGGCCGGGGCTCCGGCGCCTGCAGGCCGCTGAACGCGGGATTCCGGGGGGGAAACCCCTCGCAGGCGGTGCCGGGCCCTGCTTGCCGCTGCCAGCCCCGGCCGGAGCTCCGGCACCGAGGCTGCGCACACCGGGCTCGCTCGTCTCGACCGAGCGCAGGCGGCTCCGGCCTTCCAGCGGCCCCGGGGCACGGCTCGGCCCCGGCCCGCTCCCCTCACACCGCCGCCCGGCCTCGGCTCCCCGCACCCTCCCGCTGCGCTCGGCTGGGCTCACCGGCGGGTCTCGCTGCTCCCCCGCAGCAGCCCCGAGCCGCGGAGCCGCTCCTCTGCCAGCGGCCGCCGTCACCTGATCACCCGGAAGCCCGGCCCTGACGGAAGGGACCGGCCTCCCCGCCGCCGCACCGGCCGTGGGGCCGCGTTCCGCCTGCCAGGGGCTACCCTGTGGGGCGGTGCCTTGGAAACGGGGCCGCGGCGGCTGGGCCCAGTGCGGGGTGTCCCGGGTGGCAGCTCCGCTCTGGGGCCCGGACGCTCCGGCCCGTTGTGACCTCACCGAGAGAACTGGTGCGGTGCGAACCGCGATGCTCGGTCCCCGCCACCGTAACCCCCGCTTGCTGTGTTCTATTGCAGTTTTGTTCTGCTCAGCGTGAGGTGGTGCGGGGGCCGTGTCCGAACGGCTGCCTCTGAGAGACGCAGGAGCTTCGTATTGCCAACGACAAGGGCTCGACCCAAGCAGGGAAGGAAGGAGAGAAGGCAGCAGCTTTGAGGGAAACGAATTGTTCAAATGTGTGTGCAGAGCGCTAGGATCTGAACAGAGGAGCATTCCCAGGATGGGAACAGAGAGCTCGATCCAAGGTATTTACACAGCTGTCAGAAACCACAGATAGGGAGAGGGGCAAAAGGGAGGGAGAGGAGAGGACTTGGTGTCTGCAGGAGTGGGTCAGAGCTGAGAGAGGTGACCAAGAAGGCACCTCTTGGACACCAAGGCAGAAGCCAGCAGAAAATTGCTTGTTGTTTTACACAGTGGAGACTTGGTGTATCCTAAACCAAGGTCTCCCACTAGATGTGAGCCTTACAAGTGAAAAGCTAAGCAGTAGAGAGAGGTTAGTGCCTATCAGAAAGAGACCAAGGTCTGAGGCCTGTCTGCTCACAGGTGGCCTGAGACTCCAGAGTTCTAGTGTGAAGGTTGAATGTGTGCCAGGAAATGATAAACAATGTAAAACCAGCTACTCTGAGCCTTCATACTGCTTTCAGAAGCACATGGGCTTGGCAGAACCCATCTCAAAGGGGTCATCCAGCAGCCCAGCAGCCCAGCAGCCCAGATCCAACATGCCATCCATGTTGATGTATCACACTGGCAAATTTGTACCTGGGGTGAAGATGAAGATAGTATCTGAGAAGAGAAGGGTGTGTGGAGCCATCATAGCAGCCTTCCAGTATCTGGAGGGGGCCTATAAGGATGCTGAGGAGGGACCCTTCGTTAGGGACTGTAGTGACAGGACAAGGGGTGATGGGTTCAAACTGAAACAGGGGAAGTTTAGATTGGATGTAAGGAAGAAATTCTTTACTGTTAGGGTGGTGAGGCACTGGAATGGGTCACCCAGGGAGGCTGTGAATGCTCCATCCCTGGCAGTGTTTAAGACCAGGTTGGACAGAGCCTTGGGTGCCATGGTTTAGTGTGAGGTCTCCCTGCACATGGCAGGGTGTCTGGAACTGGATGATCTTAAGGTCCTTTGCAACCCAAACCATTCTGTGATTCTATGATTATGGTATAACGTTAGGACACATGGTGTAAAGGTGTCCTACCTGCACAGGCAGTGTATTTGCTCTCTGGTTTTGCCCCAAGGCAGTAAAGCAGCACAGTTTGGCACAGCTTCAGCATGCAAACAGAAATTTGACATCTCAGTGTAGTATCCGATAAATCAGAAATTAACAAGGCCCCAGAGGTACAAGTGGTATCCTCCAGGTGCTGATTAAAACCAAGATGAGCTTGTGAAATTTGGACTGGCTTGGACTAGTGACCAGATATGTTTGGAGTCAAAAGAATTTCAGTATATAAAGTAAAAAAAAAGTTGATTTTTGGTATTATAATGGAGCAAGAAATGCTCAGAACACTATTGTCTGGGTGTCATAGGATAACTAAAGCAATCTGAAAAGAGACACAGTTACTGCCATGACAACATCACCAGGGAATATTGGCACTGCCCAGTGACAATTGTAATATTTATTTCTTCATTGTAGGTGGTAGCCTATAACTGCTTAGAGTTAAAAAACCTGGTGCCCTGGTTGCCAGTTCATTCTCACGGTGTGCATGAGGATAAATCACTTTGATTTATTCACTTTCTCATCATCTAAGTCATACGACTGTCAAACATAATGTTGATATTTATGGTACACACGACCCCTCTCCTAAAATTCTTAATTACAGAAGTCATACATATATCAGGAATCCAAGTCCTTGATCCTCTTACCAGTATTTTTCCCATCAATACTCCTGGATTTACTTGTATCTTTAATCCAATGGTATCTTAATTCAGGAATAAATTACATCTGGGAAAACCCTTGGAATTTCTACGATAGAGTTCCTATCTGGCCTTTTGCCTTTGTTCAGCAAGAACCATTTCCAAGAGCTTCTGCTCTGTTTTCAGTACCAAACCAGAAAGGTGGGAGACCATACAGCTATTTCTGGTAGGTAACATGCATTCATCTGCTCCTTTCTGGATCCCGTTTCTGGGAGCTGCCATACTTCAGAGCAGGCCCACACTGAACTTTGCCTGATCTGCTCGAGTAGAACAAGCTTTGAAGCATCTGGTGCTTGACATCTGTGAAGGCAAATAGTCAAACTGAAACATGGTCACAGTCTGCTGCAGAAATCCCCGTGCCTCTGACAGCCAGTTAGAAGGAGGTGGCTGGAGGAGTCAAGCCAAGATGCAAGATCCACCAGGCAAGCTGGGTAAGAGCGCTGAAGAGAGTATCCTCCATGCAGCCTTCAGGATTAAAACATCTAATGCCTTTTTGGATTGAATAATGCCAATTTGTTATCCTTGGAACTTGTCATTCCAAGTGTACGTATGAAGCAGTTGCAAAAGGCACAGGCAGAGGAGATGCATGTTTTCTTTCCCCTGGCAGAGGTGAGGGAATTTGATGCCTCTTGTTTAATACATTTTACATATTTAATGAATCTTGTGCATCTACTGTATTTTCTTACTTGCTACAGCCGATGGGTCCCATCCTGTCTTATGCTTAGAAGACCTGTGTGCTGTCCCTGACATCAGAATGTCAGTTTGAGGGCTGACAGTATTTCTGGAACAGTGAAATCTCAGAGATGTCACTAAAAGCACTGAGAATTTTATTACAGTTGCTCATCTTTCTACATCCTCAGTCTTTAACGCCAAGCCTTCTCTGTTTCTCTGCGCACACAAAAGCAGTACAGGCTTTCTAGTGTCACTGGTGTGTATTTCACTGTCTGTGTGTGAGCTGTTACAGCTGACAAACATGAAGCTGTTCTCCCGTGCGGCACACATAGAAGAAGGCTGCTCAGCACCGGGTGGTTATGTCAAGGAGCCGCGGCTGCTTGCAGCACTTCCACATCGCCCGCACCGCTCTTCCCAGTAGCACAAGCCTAGAGAACGGGCAATGGGAAACAGCGGCCGGGCCGCCCGGGTCTCCTCGCCGTGCTGGGGTTTCTCAGCACCGTCTGCCCCGGGGCTGGCACAAACACTGAGCGTCAATCCTGCTTTGTCACGGAATCCCACGCTCCTGCGGGCGACACCCAGCTGCTGGCGCTGCCTTCCATTCCCAGGTTCCTGGGGGTCTGGGAAGGCCTGGCCTGCAGCCCACAGAGCTGTCCTGTGAGCGCAGCCTTCCCGCGGCCTGCCTTACAAACAAGTGCACAAGCCGCTCCCCCCGGCGCCGCAGACATCTTGTCGGAGGCTGCCCCGATGGACTACAGCCCCCAGCGTGCCCCGCGGCCAGACTACGGCACCCAGCGTGCTCCGCGGCCCTCGCGTCTTCAAGATGGCGGCGCCCAGGGGTGGTTCAGGCCTGGATACGGATTCGGACTCGGACAGCAGCGGCGAGGCGGCGGCGCGGTTCCGAGAGGCCGCCTGGGACTGCGCTGCGCAGGCGGCGGCGTCGTCGGTGCGGGCGGAGCCGCGCGGTGGTGAGGGTTGGAGGCCAGGGGAGCTCTGGTGTCCTGCGCTCCTTTCTTTCTCCCCCCGCCAGGGCCGGCCCCTCCGCAGCTCCTCCTGCCCCCGGGGTTGTCCCGGGGGAACAGTGGTCAAGCGGGGCACCTCTGCTGCGGTACCGAAACCGCCAGCGCACAAGGGAGCTGAGAGGGGTCCTCAAAAGGGCGTCCTGCCCGGCCGGGGGGTGCGCGGTCTCCTGCCGGGGCAGAGCCCCAGCCTCTTCCCGGGAAGATGTCTGCTACGGCGTGGCCGCTGGGGAGTTTCCTTTTCCATCGTAACTGATTTACCACAATGTTTTACCGGCATGATTTCTGTGCTGTAAAGTCACATGTGTCAGAAAGGGGTTTAAAGAGCTCTTGGCCCCTGGTGTTGTAAATCTGCCTTTACTTCTTCCTTTGCCAGGTGATTTTAAAAGGCATCGGTTACAGCAACAGCCTGCTCAGCCTAGCCTAAGGTATTTTTACTCCTGCTTTCAGGCTTATGCTTCACTGCAGAAAATGTTAATCTGTGTTGTATTTGTGCTTCTTACAGTTACCAGCTTGGGATACTTAGTGCTGTTTCGGGAATTAGTCCAACCAGAATCTGAAATTATGCTTGAATCTACTAGTTGTTAATAGCAGGGGAACATAGAACTGCTGTCAGTTACAGCATTGGTTCCAGCTGTCAGAAATCTCCCAGCTCTGCAAGTGTCACATGGAGGAATTAGAACAGTTACAGATGCAAAAAATGCTTTGCTTTGAGAAACATTGCACTTGCAAAGGCAAACACTCATCAGTGGGAAAGTAGCTGCTGAACTAGGAGCCTTGGAGCGGAGGTGCTGCTGTCCTGTCTAAGTCTGCAGCACTTCTGTAAGCTCAGTTTCAAAGGCTGTCAGCCAGGCAGCTTAACAAAACCCAGGAGAGAGTTCGTAGTTGTATGAATTATGGCAACATACACAGGAACTGCATGCAAGAGAAAGGGATGTCCTGATATGATTTGCTTTTGTTGGCTCTTTCAATGAGAAAAGTCATCCAACTGTGATAGAGATGGGTAAATAATGTTTAGCTCTCTTGGAAACTGAACTGTTACTACTGAGCTACTTCCCATCTTTCTTAGCAGTCTCCTCTATTACATATGAATTAATTACTAGGGGGTAGGAAATTTTCCATCCCTTATCTCCTGTTTGGGTGAGAGCACCAGATGTTCTTTGCCTTGAAAGAGATAATCATTATTCTTACTTTAAACAGGCATGAGTTGAACGGTCATGAAGAGGATGGAAATGAGCTACAGACAACACCAGAGTTCAGAGCACATGTAGCAAAGAAACTGGGAGCAATGCTAGACAGGTACTGGCATGTGACACTGAGTGACCGTGACCTGTGGGCCAACTACGCTGATGGTTTTGTGTGCTAAACCCAGGAAATTAAAGATCTGAGTGCAGCCTGGATATTGAGGAGAAACTCTCTTTTCTTCTTAATTCTTGGATTTAATGCAGATTTCCAATAATCTGTGCACTAACCTGGCCCATGTGCTGTGCCCCCCGGTAGAAGACTCCCACTGCCTGTCTCTGTTTGCCTCTGCAGTGAGTGTGTTATAGGGAGGAAAAGGCAGAATTTGGGTGCCTTAGCGTTTGCATCATGTAAAGGCTGATGTGAGAATCTTCAATTTATTCTTGTGACCTAAATCAATCCCGCAGTCAGGGTTGTGCTGCCACTGTCTTTATTGTGTCAGCATGGGCCTGGAGAACTAGAATTCCTAGTGTTTAATGTTGGCTTTACAAACACTGCTCTTAAGTCATTCCTGTGGCATGTGTTGCTCAGGAGAGAAGGAATGATCTGCCCTGAAAGCAGGGAGGTGGGTCAGCTGTCAGCTTCACTTCCTAATTAAAAAGTAAGATGCTGTGTAACATCTCCCTGTAGGCCTGTTTCCTGGAAATACCCAACTTTAGCTCAGTTTGCACAGATCTGTCCAAGGCCTGACTGGGGTTTTCTGTTTAGTTTCATCACTGTCCTGAAGGACTCATCAGGACCCGCACAAACGTCTGGGCAACAGTCAGACTCTGCAGATGATGGTGAGTTTAGTCACAGCCATTGTGGCTGTTTTGTGACCTTGTTAGTTAAATAAGTGAGACAGATCCTGTCCATTGGTGGTTGTACACACGTCTGCCTAATAAGCATTTGCAATAGAAGAATTCCTGTTTATGTTTGTGTTACTTTGAAGCTCTGATCTCTGTGCCCTATGTCCTCCCAGATAGTCCCAAATAATTGCTGTCAAATGCTATAGCATTACAATAGCAGCAGTGAGGCTTCCCAGGGAGATTGCTGATGATTCCTTTCACTTCTGTTTTATGTCATGGCTGAAATTCCCCTTTACATATTCTAGGGTTTCGCCTCTTCTCCTCCTCTGTCCCAGGAGACTGTGGGAAATCAGAGCCTTGCCCTGCAGCAAGGAGGAGGCAGCCATCTAGCTCCAGGTGAGGTGATGTCAGCTCCTTTGCTCCTGAAGCACAATTGCAGCCCACATTTCAGGGGCAGCTGGGACTCTCACAAGGGAATAAGAAGCTGAAGAGCTTGAGAAGTGTGTATTTGACCCCTCAATTTGACTAGGGCAGATTCTTTTTGTTTGTTTTTTTTAGTGCTGGGGAACTAGAATTGTTTGTGGGGCATGTCCTTTCCCCTCCTAGTATGTGTAAAGAACATGTCAGCCTTCAAACTGGTTCAATGATAACTGTAGTTAATGGAGTCCCAGAGCCACTGCGTGTTTATCAGGTGTTCTCAGATTATTCTGTCTGCTTTGGTTGAATTCAAGGCAAAAGTTTAATGTAACTTCCTTTCATTTTGCTGCCTTTCCAGTGAGATGGACAGTGACCAAGAGTGGCAAAGGTACCAAGAGGCTGCTGTGTCAGCCACAGACATCATGAAGCAAAGTGCTTTTCCTGCACTGTGCCAGGATTCCAGCCAGGATCAGAGTCGGGGTTATGTAGAGCACAGCCAGAAAAAAAAGAAGAAGAAGAAGAAAATGAAAATTAGGGGAGAGAACAATATTCAGGAGACATTAATAGAGCCAGCAGAGTGTGATGAGATCTGCAGAGATTTGCCACAGTTGATGTGTGCAAATGGACAGCATGAGAGACAGGACTGCAGTCACCCAGAGAACTTGGTGTTGCCAGGAGCTGTGAAGAAGAAAAAGAAGAGAAAAAAAGAATGAGGCTTTTCCTCTGGAAGCGGCAGGTGAATGTGATGGATGAAGGATGCTGGGAAAAACCCCTGACAGCAAGAGTTGCTGCAGATGAGGGAAAATAAATTGGCAAAGGTTCTGTTCTAAAAGTTCAGTGGCCTGAGAGTCTGGTTGAGTAACCTCCTATGTGGTTGGTATCCCTTGGAGAAGGGAATATTGTCCTCTTTGCACAGCAGCTGCTGCTTATGCAGAACTAGTGTAAAAGGATTCGGTACTGTGCACAGACTTGTGTGACAGAGAGCTATAATCATAGCTGCATCCCTCCTGGTGTGTTCCTTCACATTACGAAATCAAACCTTGTGTCCTGGAGAAATCAAATGATGAATTGAATTTGGTTTACATGGCAACAGGTGATCAACTCCTTTTTCTCTTTGCCTCCTCCTAGATGTCTGCTAAGAATAGCTCCAGCCTGTGGGAGACTCATTTATCAAAACCATTCTGTCACATATCTGGGCCCCCTTATTTTTGTTCCTGTGATCATCATAACAATCTGTTGAAACCTGCCACGTCACTAATCCTTCTGTAATCTGCACCTCTCCAGGCTGCCCTGCCTATGAGCAGAGCGTGCAGTGAACTTATTTCACCTATAGAAGTAGTTCTGTTCCGGTTGTGTCTGTTGAAATGTCTTTTCATTTATAGTTTTTTTCATGGCATTTTTTGTTATTAAATTCTAATACATTATTACTTAATTTGGCAGGTTTTGTACAATAGTGGCTTTCTTGCTGTATTCAGATGGCTCCCCTAGTGGAGATAAAGTTGACTGAAGCTGCCTCTGTAGTTGCTTGGTGATCAGTGCTATGAAAATGCTATAGGAAGGACTTAAGCCTAAGTTAAAAGTCACTGTGTTTCAGTCTGTATTTTAGCTGATTATGACTTCTGTGTGTCTGAAATACAGTGGAGTTTGGTGGTGTTCAGGAAACAACCTGCTATTGGATAAATACGTTTCTGCTTTTTAAGATTGTTGGGTTTCAGTATCTAACTTGCTGGCCCTATTCAGGAGATCAGAAAGCCAGATTAGAGAAATTGAAATAGAAGTTGCTCTTTCAGCATAGGAAAACCCAAGATGTTTTCTTTCCTACTGTAAGATTCTTCCTGTTTCTTTACTCAAGAAAACACAGTTGGCATCCAAAAATGGCAAAGCTAAGTAGAAAATTGGCTTGTAATCTAACTGAATGTGCCAGCAGAAGTCACTTGCCTTATGGGCAGTTAAAACATCAGTATACTGAAGCTACCACCTGGGTTTTCAATGCATAGTGGTCTAAACATTGCCTTTTGACTTGCTTTATGATGATTATTTTTAAGCTAACTGGAAGTTTTGTGTATTTGCAACTGATGCACGTGGGAGACTAGGAAACGATATTCTAGGATGAAATTTGTCATCCTGTAGTTACTGAAAGGAGTCTGTGATGGCTGGTGATATCTAGAAGAGGTTCTTATCAATAATAACTGTAATGGACAGCTGCAATGTTGAGATTTCCAGGTATGATACCTGAAGAGTTCACTGCTGGGCTGCTTCTTTGCAAATTCTCTTAACCTTTTAAGAGTCTTGAGCCCATTCTGGTCGTGAGGGGTTTCATCCATTTTAGAGTTGAAACTCTGGTTTGGTCACAAAGACAAAAACACTAATTGAGGTTTTTGTTCATGTCTGGCTAGTCACGTGTGAGTGATGTGAACACTGAGAGTAAATAGAGAAGAATAATTAGAAGAGGAATAATACAAGTAGATCCATAGGGCTAAAAACCTTGACTTAGTGCGAGTAAGACTCTTAAACCCCATGGTAATTATTTGCATATCAAGAACTACAGAATATAGCCTACAGAGAACTAAGAATGTGCTGTGTTCTTTAAAGTGAAGCTGACCTCTCTGTAGAGAACAACTGAAGGAATCAGTGCTCTTTGTGGAGCATTTGGACATGAATGCAGTGTCAGGAACCGGTGGAGGATGCCACCCTCTGCTCATTCAGCAAGACACACGAGAGCCCATATGGGTAATGCAAAGAACTGGAATCTCCTTGCTGCTGTTAAACTTTAATTTCTGCATTTAAAACAAAGCAGAGCTATATCAAAAATAACCAAGCCATTTCCACTAGGATAGCATGATTTTAGAGCAGGTCATTTTTAACTGAGAATGTTTGGTATTTCTGTAGTTACTTAAAGGATTTGTAGCTTGTACTCAGTGATCCAATACTGACAGGTTTGTGCCAAGCCCTTCCTGAACCTGTTTTGTGATGATTTTCATTGCAATGTCAGGAACCAGGTTCTCTCACTCTTGCCTCCAAGATACTATTATTTCTCGTAGTTCCCATTGGTACTCTCTTAGAGCATCCCTTCTTTGGCAGCTCAGCTTTGCTCTTTCCTGCATGGCTTAAGCTGATCTTGGCATATTTGTACAGATCCAGCTTGATGGAGGCTGAGCACAGTGAAAGTCCTATCCATGTTCTGGCATTTTTGCCATATTGCATTCAGATCCCTGTTTTGAATCCTTCTGGGGCAGGATGTCTGGTCATTTTAGGTTGGCTGTTGGGGTTTGGGTTTGCTTGGTTTTCTGGGAGGCAGTGGATTTTAGTGCCAGCATCATCTTTCCATGGCTTCTGTCTTGAGCCCGAGACATCTTCTCTTATGGAGGCAGCTGAATAAGTGATTTGTATGAGGCAGTAGGGGCTGGAGGTCAGCTGGGTGCAACAGCCTTTCCTTCCCGTGGAAGGCAGCGATGACAGTGATGGCAAACACAGTTGGAGCTGGACCTGACAGGCTGGTCATGGCAGTCACCCTTGAGCTAGCTGTCATGATTACTGAGTGGAGGATGCCATCTGTGTGGAGATGAAGGTCTCGATGACATTGTGAGTAGATGGCAGCAGCTGACTGTGGCTGTTGGTGGAGTCAGAGCTTTGGTACAGCACCAGGCTGCTGGAGGACACTGTCAAAGGCACAGGGAGAAGTTAAGTTCAGATTCTCACTGCATTCCCCTTATGCATGCACACTCACGTTTCCAGCATGACTGAACTCTCCTGTCATAGGGACATAACTCCTTCTCTTTTGTGTACTGTTATGTACCTAGCTCCAGTCCACAGCTAGCCTGAAAATACTAAGGGCAACAGCCTTCAGGGAGCTCGGTTTTGAGGGTTGTAGATAATGGTTCATATCCTAGTTCTTCTAGAACTGGGAGGCTCCAGCTGGAGTCTCTTTATGAGGGATTCGTGGGCTTTTCAGCCCTAAAAAACTGCCCACAAGACTGGATATTCATGGACACTGATTTTGTCAATATATTTGAGGTTAGCTTCCTCTCTAGATTTTGAAGAAGGGTCCCGTTTCCACTCTGGCCTTACACAGACTGCGCTCTTTTCCTTGTACCAGCATTCACACACCCCCAAGACACCGTTAGAGCCCTCTAAGAGAATCATGAGCCCCAGTTACCTTTTTCTACCTGGATTTTTACAGTGTTGGCAAAAGAAACTAGGCAATACGTGGGTTAAGACAGTGGCAGCTGCTCTTACCAGCAGGGCTTGAGGTGAGGCGAGGGCCTGGCTGAAGGTGCTGGATGGTTGTGTCTTGGTTCTGTAAATGTATTGTTGGAGCCTGTGACACTGGTGTGTGCATTCCAGACTCTGTGTGGGTCTCCGACTCAGGTGTGAATGCCTAGAGAAAAGGAAGGTAAGTGCCCAGTTTCTACATGTGTTCTAACAAGCAGGAGAGGAGAGTGAGCAGGTGCTGTTTCCAAGGAGATTAAATCCTCCTTGGTGATGCAGTGAAGGGCTTACTCTAATGCCTCCAGTATCACTGCTGGTACCAGCAAGATGAGGAGATAAAAAAGATTATCCCACTGGGATCACATAGACCACACACCCAAAACATCTCTAAACAAGCAAGGAGCTACCTGCAGACTGGTACAGTTCTAAGGTGGGAGAGCAAAGGCATAGGCATGTGCTAAAGGCCGTTACCTGTTTGGTTGGCGTCAGGTTAGTCAGGGCGCTGAGATTGGCTGTATCTGTTATCACCATGGTTTGTGGCAAGAGGCCTGTATGTGTGTACTGGGCCACTTCAGACTTGGGGCCGTAGAGAGCTGTGCATGAAAGAAAACAAGATCATGTGGATGCTGGAGTTTTTCATGAGGCTAGTTTGGCCGAGTTGTTCTCCTTATCCATGTGGACCTGCTCTTTTGTCTCCGAAACAGAGGGAGTGGAGGGACAGGGAAAGGAATGCAGTAGAAAAATGTCACAATTAGAGCAACAATAATAGAAAAGTAGAGTGCTGCAAGCCCAAGGACCCAGCAAATGCTCCAGAACAGAGAATTGTGTTGCTTGCTTGAGCAGATGAACTCGCATTCTTACCGTGAGGGTTCTGTATCTGGGCCATGGTAGCCATGAAGGGGCTCTGGTTGATGTGGCTCTGGACTTGCTGCATGAGGGGCTGCTGGTAGGATGGGTGCAGCTGCTGGGAGAACTGGACGGGCTGCAGGGTAGTGAGGCTGCTCCCCATGCTGTTTATTACAGGTACACTCTGGGGCTGGGTTGAGGCCAAGCCTGAAAAACAAGGACTGATGACAATAGCATCACACACTGGGAGGAGTGTGTCAAGGGAGGGTAATCTGAAGCAGTCATTGTGGCAGGCCTATTGTCCCAGGATGATTTCAGATCCTGCTTTTCAGGTGTTCTGTTTGTTACCTATGATTGAGAACAGATTTCATGCATCTGAAAACAAAGTGGGAGTGTGCAAAATGTACAGTGCAGACAGGTACGATAAAACCACCTCTGATTTCCAGTGTTTGTTCCTGTATACATCCTTGTGTACCAGTATAGGTCACTTTTACCAGTTTAATGATAACCTGATAGGGAGTTCCACTGGGGCTACCTCGCTCAGAAGTAAACTGATAGCATCCTCTCAATGTCCAGTTCATTTTATTCTCTTAATGAAGCTGTTGGCAACAGAGAACACTATGCTGTAGCTGTCCTGGTGCATGGAATGGAGTTTAAATTCACTTTATTTGGTCTGCCCAA